ACCATACATCGGAAGTGCCTTCAATGATCACCTCATAATTTGCTTATTCTGAGGCGAGATGTTGCAGTGGCAATCCATCCTGCAGAAATAAATTAGCAGGACAAAAAAAACTAGAAGTTGACAAAAAGTGCATTGACTTAAATTAAATTGATATATATTTAGGTCTAATAGAAAAATAATTGACTCTGTGTTGCAAGTACTAAGGTACTGTAATGTAAAGGTCTCACAGATTTATTCCTACATGGTTTGGTTATTTTAAGTGTACAGAAGGTGAGTCTGCAGGGGCCACTCATCCCTTGCCTAGCCACTGTTTGCAGAATGAGTGAGTGATAGATGTATGAGACAGATCAATAAAAAGTATCTAAGATTCAGCTGCACCAATCATAAATTTGTAACTGGTTTTCAAACTATTTGAAATGCCTATAATATAATGTTTTTGGATATCTAACCTACTCTAATACCTGAATTTGTTGCAATAGCTTCAATAATGAAGCTGGCCAATATGGCAAAAACAAATATCACTGACCAAAATGCTATGAAAACTTCAATGAAGCAGCTGTTCATTTAACCATACCTGCTCTTAATCCAATAAGCATCAGAGTCCTGCTAAAAAGACTTTATTCAGCAGCTTAACCTGCCACCAACAAGCATCCGAGTTGGATCGCCTGTCAGACTTTGATTCTGATGACTCTGATTCAACCCTCCTCCACCCCCTGCTTCACCATCCTTCCAAATTCTTTTGGCTTCTTCTCCATTCCGCTGCTTACCCCTATCGTAGTAATTCTCTGGACATATACTGCTTTTACCAGGCATACTCAGCCGCTCCAGCATAGACCCCCATGTTGAGCCCAGTTCTGCCAGAGATTTTTTCCCAAGGGTAGTTTTTTTTTTTTCTCTCCTCTGTCGCTTTATGCCTACTCAGCGAGGAGGTTCGAACCTGCCAGGTTTCAGCTGGCATCCATCTTCATACCATCTCCGTTCCACCACCAGTTTCAGGCAGTTTCAGCATCTCGTGCATGTCATAAAAGTAAAATACATTGTTAATGTAACCCTGCCAAGCCTGAGCGCCACAGTCTTGAAATATTGTTTGAATAAAACTCTTCTAATTGCCTTCCCTCTTCTGTGATTTTTTCAGGTCGAATTAAGATAATTAATCACTATCTTAGGACCAGGCCCAATATCACAGCCTATGTGAAAGAACAAAGTCTGTCATGGTTTTGGTTCTGTTGTCCTTTACTTTGCTCCATGTTTCCTGTTTTTATTCGTTTAATTCCTATTTTGTTGTAGTTTCGAGATTTATGTTAGTCACTCTCCATTTATGCAGTCACTCCTTGTTGGTTCCTTGTTGTCGCTGTTCCTGTCGTCGCTGTTGTCCACTCACCTCGTCTCTCCCTGGCTCCTTGTGCGCGTTTTCCCCTGATGTCTCCATGGTTCTGGTCTGTGTTACATTTTTAGTTGGATTTTTGGATTTTGCATCTGTTATTATTATTTGCATTAAAACTACAAGCAGAAATCACCTCAGCCTCTCTGCCTCTGCTTTTGAGTCCTCTAAACCACAACCAAATTGTGACACAGTCAATTTTAAAATTAAAATTGATGTTTATTATTATTTCATATACAAAATGATTACAAATGTGATATTTTGAAATGCCTTCAACATTTTTTTACCAATTAAAATGCTTTGCATTACAATGATTTAGATTCTAAATCTTTGTGAAATACAATACTTCTACATTAATAGTTAATAATTTTCAGAGAAAAAAAAATAAAGAAATGCATAATGGTCTCTAGAGTAGAGTCTCATGGTGATCAGACTGCATTGGCTTTAGTGATAAAACGCAGACATGCAAAAGCACGGATGACCTCATTTACTCACCTTTTTTAAAATGAGATCTGAGTTTTACCCAGATCTCTGGATCGCTCCAATGACGGTCTACACTCTCGCTGTGACATATTACAGTTGTAAGAAAAAAACACTCTACAACCTGGTTCTTGTTTCCCCTTTTTAAGAACATGCTTGATATTCCATAGTTTATTTGCTTAAAATGTGTCTGTTTTGTACAGTTTCATTTACAATTATATTTACCAAAGCTTTTTTATTTGTTTATTCTTGCCCTGTAGCTTTTTTTTTTTTTTTCACATTGCTGGTGCAGTTCGAATCAAATAATATAAACCATATGACTCTCATACTTTGAATATGCTGCATACTAGCTGATGCATGCAAATAGGACACTGTCGGTAGCACTGCCAGATCTGCAATGACTTATTAGTGGATGTGTGAATGATCTGATTATTTGACCGTTGATTGCAGGAACAGATATATTTGGTGACAAATAGAGGGCCCCAAATTCACATTTTGCTTAAAAAAGCTTGGGCTGGCCCTACAGCAAACCCACAAAAAAACCCCAATAAAATAAAAGCCAATTTTACACTTCAGATTTTCTGGCAGGTTTAAACTAAGCCTAAAAAAACAACACATTTTAACATGAAAATTGCGATGTCTCCTTAAAAAAAACAACCAACAGTTCCAAAACCAGCATGAAAATAAAAAACAGCATGTAATAAAAAGTGTGTCAGTTCATTAAGTTTCAGCTCCCATAATACCTTGGACTTTGTTTATAAACAGCTGACTGAAACAGAAAAAAATGAGCTGTTTAACTGCAGTAATAAGTGCATCCTGATAACACCAAGGTACTAAATGGTTTGTTTACTGGTTAAACAAAATATTGTATGTATGGTTTCCGATAGGTTCGCCAATCAGGATTGGTTTAAGTCACATAAAGTATACATTTCAATCAAAGACAAGCCAACTCTAAATAAAATGTTTAATCTTAGGTTGGGTGTTAGTGGTAGGTTCAGAATGAAAGCCATCTTTAAGTGAATACGAAAAAAAGAAAAGATAAGCGGCATCAATTTCGAGCCGCAATGCATAATTCAGTATAATTTCGACTTATTGTATACAAACATAATCTAATATCTCCCATCTTTTCATCTGTGAATTACTCAGCCAAGAGTTACAGCGAAATGATTTGCATGTTTTCAAAATGTGTTTGAACTCATCTGGGACATGCAAAAATGGTAAACATAAATTTTAGTGTGGGCCTTCTGCTTTTGCTACACTTTTCTTTTTACTTGGGAAATGGTTATCATACCTCTTCAGTTAAGTGTTTTCCATTTTTCTCAAATAAAAACAAAAAAACTTTTTGCCATTTCAACAATATTTTCATTCTGTCTTTTCCCTTTAGCATGCTGTGAGTAATCACAGCCGCCGCAGATGAAAGACTTTGTCCGTCTTTGTCAAAATGGTTCCAATCTCCCGTTCTGAGAAAGTGACATTCTGGCATCCTTTTCCAATTGTTGTCTTTCAATTCATCAAACAAACTAAGAAATGCCTTTTAGACTGACCTCTAAGAATGACAGGGACTCTGTCATTGATAGACACAAACCCTGAGAAAACAAGCGGCATAGTGATTTCCAATAGAAATCTACCCAGTCGACACACTTCTGCTGGCCCCTGAGACGATCCATCTGAAGGCAGCACTTTGTCAACATGTAAACAGACTTGAATGTAGCGTCTGAAACTCATCTTGTACTGTATGTGCACCACATGCCAATAAATGTGTTTTAAAAAACACACCAATTAGCTCCACTCACCGAGCTTTAACCTTTTAAATGGTGAGGTTATATGAAGTTAATTAAATTTGCCTGGGATTTAGTAATAAATCCCAGGCAAGTAATAAATAAATGTAAAAAATCCATTAAAAGATTGAGTGCAAATTGTGTTTTACTTGAATAAATATTAAAAATATGATTTTATTATTGAAGAGAAAAGGCAAATCAAACAAATCTGACTATTTGCAAATATAAAAGTAAACAACATATTTTAAGAAGCTGTTGCCTTTTCCAATCTTATGGATGTTAGTGACCTGCTCCTCCTTTGTCTGTGACTTTCTTGCCACTTGAGGTAAGTCTGTTCATTTTTTCAGATCTATAGATCTACTTCATACTGCCAGAAAGCTCAGTTTATTTTTGCAAGATATTAAAAGTTGATGATCAATAAGTCTCTAAGGAGGATGGCACTTTTTCCAGTACATGTTTATGTTTTTTTTTACTAAATAAAATATGTTATTAATGTTGTATTATGTAAATGTCATATAACATATCTACATATGGGGACTGATTACCAGCGTTCTTCATATTGTATCACAGTTATGAAACAGTATCCATTTTCTCATTTATTTATAGCCTCATCTCATGTTAAATAATGCAACACAGCAGAAGGATGATTTTTTTTTTTTACTATGACAACCAGATGAGACTCGGCATGGGAATCCTGTCCTCATGTTCCCATAACATTAAGTGAAAATAACAGGTTCACAGTATTTCCCTAAAGGTTTTTAAATAAAAATGCATAACATTATCCAATTACTTGTATTCAAAGCATAGCAGCTAAATGCAACCCAAGCTTGATTAAACCGTTCTCGTTTCAAAGTCTGGTGTCTCTCGGTAATCTTTAGGGTGTCTCGGAAAATCATCATTACCCTTAAGAACTGTTTGATGTATAATTGGTGCAGTTTTAAAACCCTAACTTTTTGAAACTTTGATACCATGAACTAATGGGGGCTTGAAAAACATGAATCTTTTGATTTCTATTTTTTTATTTCTGTTTAACCAAATCCAGATAATTTAGAAATACCATATACTTTCACTGTCCTCCAGCTGGGGGTTGAAGGGTGTGTGTGTGTATGGTGGGTGGATCTCACAATTACACTAATGACACCTCATCAAAATGGCCTCCTGATCCTGCATCTAAATGAACCTGTTCATCATATTAATTAGACAGCTGGCTTAAGGAAGGCTTATTTGCGTGAGCCACACTAAGCTACATATCTCCATAGTTTGATGGCTTTAAACATGAATAAGTCATACCCCAAAGCTATCCATATTTCATCATACATCCTCATCTATAATGTAAGCTGTTCTCCAGCTCATGCCCTTACCTGATAGGGGCTGTCTCATCGCCCTTGTCCAGCCACTCTTGTGGGGGGATGATGTACATGCACCACAAACCCCAGTTGTAGCCGTGGGCGGCGTTGGCATACTGCTGCACCTCAAAGGTGTTGTACTTGATGTTGTCTATGGCAGGTAGAATAATGCGAGTATGATCCTGCTTCATCCGGGTCAGAATGGGTTCAGCCCTTTGGAAAGAAGAAGACGACACAATGTTAAAGCTGATCTATTAAAATAACTCATTCAAAAGTTTAGCAGCACAGTTCTATGCGGGAAATGATTTGAGACAGATTAGTAGCTTGAAGCTTGGTAAATTACATTTTGATGCTTCATTTATTTCTGTTCTATAGTTCTATATTGTTGGTACTGCTGCAGACAATGCACAAGGCCAAGACTGACGTGATGGGTAATGTCAAGGAAGACATTTGGTATTCCAGTTTTGATGACTGAATATCAATGTATTTAATCAAGAAGCAGCGACAGCTCTCACCACAATTATATGGAAGTCTGGTTAAGTTGTGTACAAACACTTAGAAAAATGCAATATGACAACCTGATGACCCCTAAATGCCACCCTTTGCTGCTACTTTTAAAAGTTAGCTTTTAGGCTTTCTGTCCTCCATTAGTATTCTCCTCAAAGTACTGAGTGGGAAGATAAACTTGGGTTATCAGCTGAGAAAAAAAAAATCAAATTTTTAACTCATACTGTATCGTTGCTTTAGGGAATAAAGCATTTAAAAATTACTAACTAAAAGATCCTTTTTTGTTAATTATGTTAAATAATTTGTAAGATGTCATTGTTTACTTTTTAGCAATTAAAGAGGTGTTAAAAACTGCAATGCAATTGATTTTGTTGAATGTTTTCCTCAATAAACAAATAAAAAAGATGAATTCTTCTAAGTTTTTAAAGTAAGATGCTAGTGTTAAAACATCATGTTTTTAAGACCTTTTTATTGCACACCTTTACAACAATGACAATATATTTCACCAAAAATTTTAAATGAAACCAATTCAGTTTTTATTCCTAATGGCCTTAATCAGTGCCAACTATCAATGAGACAATAGAGGTCAAAGTAAGAAAGCAAGAAACATAATTGAGTTTCCATCCATGATCTGGAGTTTAAAAAAAAAATAGTTTCCCTCAAAAAGTAGATATTGAGGAAAAAGCCTCATTTTTTGGTTTTTACTAGAAAGCATTATAGCAAAAATCTGTATGTATTGTTTTCCACTTAGTTTACTCTGTTATCATTAATGTACACTGAACTAAACTAATCAGTGTTTGTGCATCTTTAAGGTTTTCACTGTCTAAACACATGCAATGTATCTCATCCAAGTTCCATTTGTAAACTACATAAACAATACCAAATTGCAAAGACAGAGCTCTTGCTGTTTGGTGAAAACTTCCCCGCAGTGTTGCTTCACAGCTTCAAAGCAATACAAGCATTCAACTTCACTCTGCTGTTTTTCAGGTTTGAACCAGAATCATCCAGAGTCAATCAAATAAAATTTACAAAGAAGAATTTAAGCCTCAGCTGGAGGCGCTGCTGTAAGGCACTTAGCAACCTTGACAAAGGAATTATAATATTCAGGCACAAATTAGTTTTGATAACTTAGTTTATAGATGGAAACGAATACCTTATGAAGTGTGGCAATTTCTTAAATAATAATAATAAAAAAAGAAAAATCTGAACAAATATTAATTACATACGTAGGTCCAAGGAAAAAAAGTACTGAATGATTTAACTGTTTGGATCTTGAGTGTCTCATTTTGCACTATGATATTCTTCTGAGTTCAAAGACCAAAATATTTCCCTAAAACTGGTATTTAATTCACATGAGAAAATACTATTTAATAAAATATATTCTTATTAATGGAGAACAACTTTCAGGATGCTTTTCTTTGGAAAAAATAAGTTTAATCAGTGCAAATTACAATAACTGTTATAGATGCTCCAACATTCATTTTAAAAGTTAATATAATATTTGTAAGCAGAAAGAAATAAACAAAATTTTAAATAAATCCAATAAATCCAACTCCATTCAGGTGACTGAGGTCAGCCCTTAAAATATAGTAACATATGGATGGACCCTGCAACCATCTGCTAAGTTCCTTAATTTGATGCTTTTTCCAGATACATGCTCAGATGAACTGTTCTACAAGCAGTCAGCTAACCTTTAAGATTAAACAAACAATTTCTTTAAGTTGGGACACCAAAACTTGTACATCAAAGAGTATCAAAAGGTCCCCAGAAAACTTGATTTGCTTAAAAAGGTATGTTTTTTTCTAGCCTGCGTGCCATTCCTAACTTAGTCCCGCCCACAAGGTTTGAGGTCGGGAAGTTCCGTCTGGCATTGCTCAGTAGTAGCGGGAGTATGCTCGCACAATATCTGGCGGGCCAATCAAATTGGACAGATGATCAACAGTAATGTAATCAACCACATGACCAAAGCGCGCTTGGGTGACAACAACAATGGCTGCCGCTGGAAAGTTGAGGTGTGTAGATTCTGCTATTAGGTCTGTTCTAGAAGACATCGACAGCTAATTAATTTTAAAAGAGGAACAGAGAAACGCGATCAAGGCATTTGTTGAAAAGAAAGATGTTTTTGGCGTCCTTCCTACGGGATTCGGCAAAAGTTTAATTTATCAGCTGGCTCCCTTGGTCATACGTCACGCACTCCGTTGCTCTTATTGGTTGTAGGTCTATCCAATTGAGTGCAGAGGCATTTTTTTTCCTGGTTTCATTCGAAACACGCCCCATAATCACAGCTCTATGGAGCAGTATCAGACTCATATTCTGACTAGAATTGAGTCGGACTATGTCAGGCTAGTCCCCCCCCCCCTTTTTCCTCTTTCTGCCTAATATTTATACCTAAACATTTCTAATAAAGCTTCATAAATATTTATCAAGCCAAACCTTATGGCAAAAAAGCAGAATGGTCTACTTGTAAAAGCATATATGTTGGACTGGTATTTAGTTCTTGAACATCACTTCCCAGAGCTATATTTGCAAAACAGGACACATAAGAAAAGGAATGTTTTTTTTGCTATTATTGTTTTTTTTTTTTTTTTCTGTAAGCCCATCTTCTTTTTATTTTTTATTAATTCAGTACATTATCAGTAGCAGTCGCAGTAGATTTGTTAACTGACCCTTCAGATGCCTCGCTGCAGTGCTGTCAGAAATGAGGCTCTACTGAGAATTAATTATCTTCTTTGGATGTCTGTATCTCTTGGTTTATCATCAACACCACAAGCTGTGCAGTAGCCTCCTTTAGCTATTTGAAACTACTGCTTATCCAAAGAATTCATTAAAATACACAAATATATGTACATTCAGAGAAGAACAAGCTCTCTCCCTCCCAAGATGAGCCTTTTGGTTAAGGAATTCTAACTATAAACATTTTGTTAGGTAATTCTTGGCAAATATTTATGGTAGGGTCTCTTACTGTTGCATGAGGATTACTTTGGCTTTAAGTGCAACACTTTCACAAAGTTTAACACACCTCACAACCTTGGCACAACTTTTCCACCTCGTCTTCTGAAAAACAGGTTGTTTTTCTTCAAAATCGAAAAAGATGTTTGGTTTGAAAAATCGTTTTCAACTTTTTTCGTAAAGTGCTGTTGACCTAACAGCTAAAGAAGGTTAAATTTTATAAAACTGTCAGTTTGTTGCATTTTTGTGCTTTCTTCCTTTTACCTTTAGCTGATCAGTGTGTCAAGGATTACACTTGTACTCAATTCTTATATAAGTGACTATTGTGGTATACCATAATCTTGATCATGAATAAAAACTGTGCTCTAAAATAGTGAAAGCATATATCTTAAATTTTGTGTTTCCAAAAAATATATAATACATCATTGCTAAAATTCAATTAAGTATTTAGAAGAATTGGGGCAGATTTGTCTCCAGGCAATGCAAAGGGAAAGCAAAGCATAAAAGATTTGTAACCAAGAATCAGCTGCTTAAGACCACTCCTGTAACTCCAGCCTTTTGTTTCAGAGCCAGATAGTAGACATGTTAGGCTGCCACAAATTTTATCTAGAATTCTTCATAATATCAGCTGCATGGCACAACTAAAGCTTAAATAGAGTAGCATAAACCCAACATTAGTGTCTACTGCTTGAAATACTTTCTGATTAATATGAGCATATATGGGTAGGAAGGAACTAGATATATTTACTTAGTTACATTTTCTTGAGTAACTTTTTTAACAAAATTTGCTTTAGTATAGTTTCACTGCACTGATCTTTTCACCTATACTTCAGAAATATTATAAGGAAATATTACTCTTACTTGAGCAAAGTTTCCAACCACTATTTAGTAAAGAATGGACTTGTTTTAACCATAAATTTACCAGTGAGATGCACACCTACTGGAAAGTTTATATTGAAGTGAGACTTCTTGTTTGTACACGAGCATTGATGACTTAAAGGTATAGAAGATGATCTATTATTTTCATGTGGATGATCTAAATAACTGTCCCTCCTAATTGTCAATCATTTTAGTGATATTTTTATGTAAGGCTGTCCTATGTGCTCGTCCTGTTAGCTACCATTTTCTGTGCATCCGCACTTTCAGGCGTGTATGTGTGGTGAGCTACGGTTTCAGACAGACATTGAAGCTCAACTTTTTCACTGTAGCTCTTTAAAAATAGTTTACTGGAAAAATAGTTTACTGCTGTATAAGAGGGCCCTTTGTAAAGCAAGACCAGCATGTTTCTCCACCTTAATAGAGAATAAGTATAATCCTAGATATGTTTTTAATACAGTTGCCAAACTCACCCTTAGCCATAGCTCTGTTGAACCGTCCATCCCACCTGTTCTTAGCAGTAATGATTTTATGGGATCTTTATAAATAAGATTGATCTTTTTTTAATAAGATCATTAACACTCCTCTAATTGGTTTATCTCTGAATGGTTAGGCAACATCTGAGGTAGACATAGGACATAGGTTTAGTCTGCTTTGATCCAGTTGAACTTTCAGAGTTAGCAAAACTATTGTTTACATCTAAGCCTTAAACTTGTATGTTAGATCCAGTTCCAACCAGGTTATTTAAGGAAGTATTCCCTTTGATCTCATCCTCCATTTTAAATGTGATTATCTCCCTCTGTTACAGGGATGTGTACCAAAGGCTTTTAAGATTGCTGTAATTAAACCTTTACTTAAGAAACTGTCTCTTGACCCAGATG